ATAACTATAAATTGTCCAAATCGTGTCCAACCCTCAAAATCTTTACTATCTAAAAAACACTAAACTAATTCAATTTCTTTTTTTCCAGATTATCATATAAGACTTGTAACCTTCTTGTCCTTATTTGTCGTAAGAATCACTGAAGATCCCTTTCAGTTATTCATCTAGAAAGCGAACAGGTTACAAGTGTTTTGTGTCAGTCCCACTATGTCTTCTCAACTGAACAATCGTGAGAGGAAAAAGATTCAGGCCTTCAAGAATGGTACCAACATTCATACTCTGGCTTCCATCTTCAAAGTCCGTTCAAGCGCCATCAATCGAACGGTGCATAAGTTTAAAAAGTGGGAACAGTAGAGAGAAAAAACTGGAACAGGAGGTCACAACAGGATCATCATTTCGACTTAGAGCAGAAGAGATCAATTAGAAAAGATTGAACTCAATACATAAGACGTTTGGCAGGTGAAAAAAAGTGGAAATGAAATCATACGTGAAACTTGTGACGTATGTTATTAATCCAGGACAGAAACTTAGAAGGTTAGAGAGGGCGAAGATCATCTTGAATTAGTTGGAGAATGATCCTGGAATAATATATATATATATATATATATATATATATATATATATATGAACTTTATGATCGATTTCATCACGATGCTTCTGTTAAAGTTGGGGAGTAATTATCGAATCTTATTGCTCAAAGTAGAGTATAATAGTGTTATAAAAACCACGGTGAATTCCAGTAAGATATTTTTAATCATTTCTAAGATACAACGGTTCAAAGCTTAATCTAACAAATAGACAATTTTGGACAATTTTTCTGTTACACCCAGTATATCTATCTATCTATCTATCTATCTATCTATACACACACACACACACACACACACACACACACACACATATATATATATATATATATATATATATATATATATATATATATATATATATAGTGTATCTGCGCAATAATTTTTCATTTATGCATGTTATGATAAAAGCTCGAAAATTCTTGATTATTTTTTCAATTATCTTCTTCGATATTTCTAATAATTTTTAACACTTCCGGTTTGTGTTTGCAAATACAGGGCGTTACAGAAATTAACTCACTTTGTGACTTCTTGATTTTTTCTAAATTAATTTCATTTAAAATTCAGATGAGCGTAACTCCCCATTATGTTAGTTGCGTTTAACTTGCAGTCCATTACCGGTATAAAGGCTTCTAGTATTTAAGGATGATACGTCAATAAGCATTAATATTTCTTAATTTTAACTATTAATCTTGTTTGGAAGTCTTTATTGACTGCATTTATTGTCATTTAAAGGAGAAGTGTTGGGTAGGGGTACAATCTGTGTACTTTCTCGTGTCTCTTTCAGCTCCCATTAGCCATATTGAAAACTTTTTTTGTTTATGATATTATCAACGACAACATTAACCCAGACAGGTCTTTAGCAATAGCAAAAAGCGGCTCTATTTCATAGACATCAAAAGGGGATTGTAACTGCATAAATAAAGGAAGCAAACAAAGGTTAACAAAATTATGGTAAACCTCGGAATCAACCTGCTAAAGAAAACCATTTAAAAAGAAGTATAGGATACGAACTCTCACGTGAATACACGTGACATGAAGAAAGGCAACACGCGATATTTAAAAAAAAGAAGAAAGAAAGAAAACAAAATAAACTGACATTTGTTTTAATCTCGACGCCGCCATATTAAATGCCGTGGAAGAGAAAAGTAATTTTAGTCACGTGACATTAAAATCTATACCACCGCCATCGCACTTAGGCCAAGGTTCATTTCGAATTGCTGACAACATAAATGCTTCACCGACTTTCTGCTATCTCCGTTTATTGAAAATGACCAAAATACTCGGAATAAGCATCTCACCCCTTCTCTCTCTCTCTCTTTCTCTCTCTTCTCTCTCTCTCTCTCTATATATATATATATATATATATATATATATAGAGAGAGAGAATAACTTGATCGAGCCAGGGCAAACCTACCTAGGTTTTTTTAAACGGATCTTCAGGGTAGACTGGCCCCTGAAGATCCGATTAGGTGAAACCTAGATAGGTTTGCCGGGCTCGTTAGTATTTCTTCTAATTTACCGCTCTACTTAGCATATTGAGCCCTCTACGTTTTCGTTGTCTTTATACTCGCTTGGGTTTTTTTCTTTGGACTAAGGACTTAATACACTTGACGATTTGTTTCACCTTGTTCTGGTGTTTTTAGCTCTTTCTTTTTTACTTTCAAATTTGCCCTCAGGTGTCTACAAGTTGAGTCATTCGAGGTTTTTCAAGCGAGTAATACTGTTAATATATATATATATATATATATATATTAGTATAAGCTAATTTTATTGTGGAAACATTAATTTACATCAGCGCTTCACAAAAGGTTCTTCATTCGTGACTCCAGTTATTAAGCAACTACACTGACACTACACGCACGTTTTATTACAGCAGCGCATGCGTGACTAGTCACCTTAAATATTGGGCGTTTTTGAAATTACGTATGAATGGAAATTCAAGGATTTGACTTTAATTTTCGCAATCCCAGAATTTCGCTTCGTGACCCCCAAACAGGGTCGCGATCTCTAGTTTAAGAAGAGCTGGACAAGATTACGCCGGATCTAACCGCAAAATTGTCCAAGTCGTGTAACGGCATATGAATATTGTCCATTCCACAAAATGTTTAACATTTAAAAAACCGCTATAGTAATTGAGTTTCTTTTTCTCAGGTTTTCAAATGATTTAGCCATCTTGACATCATTTTTGTAAGAATCACTAAAAAACCCTTCAGATAATACAGCTAGAAATAGAAGAAATTAAATTCGTTTTGTGTCAACCCCACTGACTTCACTAATGAGCAATGGTGAGAGGGGAAATTCATTCAGGCCTTTAGTAATGGCACCAACAAGAACCATCAAGAGAACGGTGAATAAGTTTAAAAAAGAGGAAACATTAGAGAGGAAAACTGGATCAGGGGGTCACAATAGGAAGAGGGATCATCATTTCAACTTAGACCTAAAGCGATCAATTAGAAAAGATCCAACACAATCTATAAAACGTTTGGCACGTGAGAGAGGAGTTTCAGCTATGACAGTGCAAAGAGAAATGACAAAAAGACTTGAAAATGAAATCGTACGTGAATCATTCGAAGCAACTTCTTACACCAGGACAGAAAGTTAGATGGTTAAAGAGAGCGCAGATCCTCTTGAAGAAGTTGAAAAATAATCCTGAATATATATATATATATATATATATATATATATATATATATATATATATATATATATATATATATATATATTAAGAAATAGATTATAAACAGAGCATTTACTTAAATACTTGTATCTACAAAAAGAACGTTAAACATAAAAATGTCTTTAATAAAATAAATTGTCGGACTTTGTCCATTTCTTAATATATGACGTCATTTGTTTACATTTGATACGCCAGAGCAGTTATGAATGTACGAGATTCATGGAAGATTGAAGTTTATAAGCAGTAAATTCGACCTTGCCTACCGAACGCTCCTTTGTAAGGCACGTCAGCGTAAATGACGGTTCCGTATAGGATGCAGGTTCGAATCCTGTCAAAGGGCGAATATTTTCTATGAAAATTTCTCGGACATTAGGCCGGTAAATGTTATTTAATACTGTTTATTATAAACAGAGCATTTACTTAAATACTTGTATCTATAAAAAAAGAACGTTAAACATAAAAATGTCTTTAATAAAAATATATATATATATATATATATATATATATATATATTTCAGTACTTCATAGGCTTCTGATCCTTATTAATTAATGATGAACATGTCATTTTCGTTTATGATCGATTTCATCCCGATTCTTCTGTTGAGTTTAGAGAGTAATTATACATTCCTATTGAGTTCAATAGTGTTATAAAATCCTCGGAGAATTCCAGGAAGATATCTTTAATCAATTCTAAGATGCAGCAGTTCAGATCTTAATCATTCCATTAAACAATATGTTTTTTAAAAGAAATTTAAATATCAGTGTCCCTCTCTTTCTTGCACACTTTTCCATTTTGACATAGATTATATATATATATATATATATATATATATATATATATATATATATATAAAGAAAATATTTTTAAGTATACAATGACATGTTAAACGTAATTTATAGAGATTCTAAATTCAAATCGAATATGGAACTTGTGAAATGCGTTAAGATCTTGTCAAAGAACCATCCCTCAAAAAGATATTTTCTAATATAAAGCAAAACATTATTTTATCCAATGCGATGTTTAATATTGAATACTAGAAAGAAGCTTGCATTTAATACCAGTGTTTTCTATTCAACTCGGGAGTGTTGCGAAGAGCGCGTATGGCTTCCTTAAAATTCCATTTATGAGAAAGTGGTTAATATGGATGTTGCCATAAAGACGCTATCTGAAAATGTTTGGAATTTCATCTCCTGTTTGATTTATCCTCGGGCTATCAAATAGCAAAGTATTAGAAAGAATGCGCGGTAGATTCGACATTTAGATCTGAAAAGACAGATAGAGTGATAGAGACAAGAGATACTGTGCGTGTTTGTGAAACAGTTGGTGATAGATAGATAGATAGATAGATAGATAGATAGATAGATAGATAGATAGATATGAACAGAATGAGATAGATATGCACAGAATGAGATAGATAGATAGATAGATAGATAGATAGATAGATATGAACAGTCTGAGATAGATAGATAGATAGATAGATAGATAGATAGATAGATAGATAGATAGATATGAACAGAATGAGATAGATATGCACAGAATGAGATAGATAGATAGATAGATAGATAGATAGATAGATAGATAGATATGAACAGTCTGAGATAGATATAAACTGTCTGAGATAGATAGATAGATAGATAGATAGATAGATAGATATGATCAGAATGCGATAGAATGATATGAACAAAATGAGATAGATAGATAGATAGATATTAACAGAATAAGATAGATATGATCAGAATGAGATAGATATGAACAGAATGAGATAGATAGATATTAACAGAATGAGGTAGATAGATAGATAGATAGATAGATAGATAGATAGATAGTGTATAAAGTTAAAGACAATAAGAAAACTGTATTATTAGCCAGCGCGTTTCGTCCAATGTGGGCTTTTTCAAGGCAAAAACGAAATGAATTTATTAAAACAAAGTAACTAATAATAAAATAAAGAAAATGTCCTTATCAACTGGAAGAATTTAGAAAACACTATTGTATTCATATTGTCAACTTAAAATTATGTCAAATACTATCACGTGTGGAAATATTGTTTTTATTGTTGCGTTGACGGATTCAAATATTTTCTTTTGATTTCTTGATACAGTTGTGTACGTTTGCTTGGGAGAGTAGTAATTCCGTTAGGAAAAGTAATATTGGGAAAAAGCCTCGGTGTAGATTAATAGTTGGATAATATTCAATGGTGGCACTCTCGAGGATTTTCCTTCTGAGTGAGTTATTTTCTTTTTTATGAGTGTAGCATTTTTAAAATCCAAATTGTGGTATTTCTAAGTATGTCTAATGCTTTAGTTACATTGTTTTTTGTGAAGTCTCTTTTGTGCTCATAGATTTTTTTTTTTTAAATTTTCTACTTGTTTCTCCAATATATTGGGAGGAACAGTTTTGGCAATTTATTTTATAAATGCCTGTTTCAGAAATATTATTGCTATTAGTGTTTGAGGATCTGAATAGTTCTGGACAGTGGACGTGACAGAGTTGGTCGGTAGTATTATGCTTTTGTTTTCAAGTAATTTATTATTACGGATTATGGCATTATTTTTGTTACGGTTGTATATATTGTATGCCTTTCTTCTTTCGTTGTGGATGAAATGATATAGGTATTGTAGGTTTTTGAATGTGATTTTATGTATTTTTCTTCTTTAGGTAAATAATTGGGGCTGCAGATTCTTAATGCTCTCAGATAGAAACCTATAATAATTCCAGATTTAATTATATAATAATTATTGCAATATTCTTATCTGGATGCTGTCGGACAAATCATCGCGTAACTTTAAACCGGGTTACTTTCATAAGTAACCGAGTTTTTAAATATTTTTGTTACAAAAATTGCACAAGGTATCTCTTGAGCAAAAATCTGTTCTCCTTGAAATGCCTTAAATTATGCAATATTTCGATTATCAATGCATGTTGTGATCATTATTATTATTATTATTATTATTGAATAGATAGATAGATAATGAATGAATATAACGGGATAGATATATATGAATAGGAATTTCGACAGCCCAAGCAGCGTTAGAGCATCAACCGATTGATGCAGCAAAGATGAGGAAATTGAGCTGAATATTGTGCATTGACAGAACTCCATCACAGAACTTCAGATAAAACCAATCAAAATGTAACGACCGCCATAATATACGTGAAAAAGCCTGTTCGAATTCGGGTTTTTATGATTTATTGTTTGGTCGAATGTCGAATAAAATATAATAATCGGGGATGTTTAAGGAGAATGGACGGTTAATTTGTCCTTATTGGTCCTGGCTTTTTGTAATTAATGCAAACAATGGCGCCAGAAGTGTTGTACGCATCATTGTTTCTCTTTCTACAGATGCGTAATGGCGGACAGGCTGAGTGTTAATTTGCTAAGTGTTTCTTTTCAAAAGGAACCCTTCCATCGCCGATCGATCAATTTCGATTGGTCTATGTTGACGGTAGATGTGTGTGTGTATTTGTCTATTTTTAATTATATTTTTATTCTTATTTTGTATTTGTCTTTATTTAATTGCTCGCTTTTTATTCTTTGATATTTAATTTATTTTACTTTTTCATTTGCTTTTTGTATGTTTTTCTCTATTTCATGTTTTGGATCGAATGCGGAAACTAAAAGTTAGAATGGATTGTGCGTCGGAGAATACAATAAAAGGGGATGTGTAAGATTTGGGCGTACAGAAGAAAGAAGCTCGTAACAAGTGAAGCGGGCAGGTTGAATAGGGAAAAGAAGAAGGGGGGGAATGTGAAAAAAAAACGTATATACACGTGAATACATGTATGAATCATGTCCGCCTCCAGAGAATTTTGAGATAGATAGATAGATAGATAGATAGATAGATAGATAGATAGATATGAACAGTCTGAGATAGATATGAATAGACTTAGATAGATAGATAGATAGATAGATAGATAGATAGATAGATAGATAGATAATATGAAATTCTGACAGATAAAAATTGAATAGATAGATATTAAACTATGATAGATAGATAGATAGATAATATGAAATTCTGACAGATAAAAATTGAATAGATAGATATTAAACTATGATAGATAGATAGATAGATAATATGAAATTGTGACAGATAAAAATTGGATAGATAGATATTAAACTATAATAGATAGATAGATAGATAGATAGATAGATAGAAACAGAATAACATAGATAGATAGATAATATGAAATTCTGACAGATAATAATTGAATAGATAGATATTAAACTATGATAGATAGATAGATAGATAGATAGATAGATAGAAACAGAATGAGATAGATAGATAGATAGATAGATAGATAATATGAAATTGTGACAGATAAAAATTGGATAGATAGATATTAAACTAAGATAGATAGATAGATAGATAGATAGATAGAAACAGAATAAGATAGATAGATAGAAACAGAATAGATAGATAGATAAATAGATAGATAATAAGAATTTCAAACAGATAAAAATTGAATAGATAGATATTAAACTATGATAGATAGATAGATAGATAGATAGATAGATAGATAGATAGATATGAATAAAATGGTTACACAGATAGATAGATAGATAGATAGATAGATAGATAGATAGATAGATAGATAGATAGAAGCACGTAACTAGAGAAGAACGCAGGTTGAATATCTAAAAGAAAAGGCGAGAAAGATTAAAAATATAAATCTCGTGGATAACTGTACATGTCACAATCAGGTCCGTTGACAGAGGATTTTAGGTAAGTGTGTCAGGAGGTCAAAGAAAATTATTTTCTAGGGTCCACCTAACTTTCGTCAACGGGCCTGTGTGGAATACGTGTAGCGAGTGTAACGAAATGTTGAATATGTAAAAGAAAATGTGAAAAATAAATACGATATAGGAGACATTAATGAAGAAAGACTTGACAGCAAAGCCTCAACAGAAGCAGCTGCAAACTGTGAAACAACAAAGATGAGGAGAATTGACCGCATGTAAATAATATACATATTGATAACTCCTCAGTCCATCAGACAAAATGTTTGTAAAAAAATTGTTTAATCGCGATTAGTGAAAAATGATTGGGGTTTAAAAATCTGTGTGGGCATTGTAATGGTCCATGTCTAAACTGAATTATTGTGGCCTCATACTCTGAAATCAGCATACATACACTCACACACACACGCGCATATATATATATATATATGTGTGTGTGCGCGTGTGTGTGTGTGTGCGTGTGTGTGCGTATGTATTTAGGCAGTTATCCTTCTTCGTTTCATTGAATATGGCAGACAAGGTGCTTTGTTTTAGTTTTTTTATGCAATTTCTTATGTGATCTTATAATTATATCTTTTTGGCTGTTATATTAACTGTTAATATATTTCAACCTTGAAAATGGCTAAATGCATAGCCGAAAGCGCTCGAAAAGAAGGAACAATTGGAAAGTTTTTATATAATTTATCATCCAAAAAGAAAAAAATTATAAGATCACACGAGGAATTGTACCTTGTCTGTCATATTCAATGGAACGTGCACACACACACACACACACACACACATATATATATATATATATATATATATATATATATATATATATATATATATACATTATTGTGCATAGATTATATTTTATATCATAAAGAAACAATTTATGCAAAAGAATTAAAAAGCAATGTTAATGTGATTAATGCTGAAATCACTGCGCTAACAGGACTTAATGAGACATAAATTTACTATCAGTTCCTTGAATAATAATATCCTTATATTCGAGTTGTTGTCAGATGGAAGACACGTGCCAAGTAATTTCGAAAATGTCAAATTGCCATCTTCAGTTTCTTATTCAAGAAATTGATAGTAAGTTAATGTCTCATTAAGTCTTGTTAGCGAAGTGATTCCGCCATTAATCACATTAACATTTCTATTTAATTAGACTTATAAATATGTCAGTTAGATTATGGAGAGAAAAATTGTCTATCACGATACAGTGAACCAACTTTCCGAGCAGCAAACCTAGCAATTATATAATTTTCCACTTCATGTTAACAAAGGATGTTAGCCCGAGAAAGCGCAATGAGTCAATCTGATGGTTAGCCATGCTGATGGAAGACAGAAACAGGTCTCTCCGATATAGTTTACAAAATGGAAAAAAATAATCTATGCATCACGTTTTGTATCTGTCTATATTTCTGAGATGAGATATTATGTACACTATTTACATTATTCGGACTATTGTCCTCATCTTTGTCGCCATATTTATTACAACGTTTCGGCCGTTGTACGCTCCGGCAATTCTTCAGGTGGTTGGAATATCGAATTGAGCATCTGTCTATATTTCTGAGATGAGATATTATGTACACTATTTACATTAGTCGAACTATTGTCCTCATCTTTGTCGTCATACTTATTACAATGTTTCGGCCATTGTACGCTCCTGCCTTCTTCAGGTGGTTGGAATGTCGAACTGAACCCTTTATTTCGCTCACTGTTCTAGTTTCACATGTCATGTTTAATGGATGACAGTTGTCAGTTATCTCCTGTTAATTCCCTTCTTCAAGTTCTCCACTGCCTTAACCGAGTATTGAACTCGCGCGTTTTGGGTCCTGTCGCAGGATCTAATCTTTTATCCACCGTGCCGTGTATCCTCAAGGACACTTGGCACAGTGGATAAAGGCGTTAGTTAGATTCAGTGAAAGTCAAAGATTTTTACCCAGGCCATATCATACCTGTTATCAGATCACTCTGTCTGCGGGGACAGGAATATGCCGATCGTATCCCATGCAGATGCACGAGACACACCCGCCGTAAAATAGCCACCTACCAAGGAAATAGAGACAGAAAATTATATACATATCCACAAACCAAGGAAATGAATATAGATTAAAATATAAACAACTCATATTTACCTAATTCCGAATCATGTAAATGCTTATCATCTCAAATATAAACTACGAAGATTTCTAGCTATCATCTCAACTAAATGCACCTGACTCAAATATAATTGAACAATATTTCCTTATTCTTAGACTAAACAAAGTCCCAAGTATAGGCTATTATATTATATTTATCGCTGAAACCAGTAAACACTTACAGACTGAAAAAGAAATGACCAATATTTCTTTCAATATCTATTTATATTTCTGAGATGAAGTATTATGTACACTATTTACATTATTCGGACTATTGTCCTCATCTTTGTTGCCATATTTATTACAACGTTTCGGCCTTTCAGTATCTGTCTACATTTCTGAGATAAGGTATTATGTACACTATTTACATTATTCGGACTATTGTCCTCATCTTTGTTGACATATTTATTACAACGTTTCGGCCTTTCAATATCTGTCTATATTTCTGAGATGAGGTATTATGTACACTATTTACATTATTCGGACTATTGTCCTCATCTTTGTCGCTATATTTATTACAACGTTTCGGCCTTTCAGTATCTGTCAATATTTCTGAGATGAGGTATTATGCACACTATTTACATTATTTGGACTATTGAACTCATCTTTGTTGCCATATTTATTACAACGTTTCGGCCTTTCAGTATCTGTCTATATTTCTGAGATGAGGTATTATGTACACTATTTACATTATTCGGAATATTGTTCTCATCTTTGTCGCCATATTTATTACAACGTTTCGGCCTTTCAGTATCTGTCTATATTTCTGAGATGAGGTATTATGTACACTATTTACATTATTCGGAATATTGTTCTCATCTTTGTCGCCATATTTATCACAACCTTTCGGTCGTTGTACGCTCCGGCCTTCTTCACTTGGTTGTGTGTCCTGAAGGACACATGGCACAGTGGATAAAGGCGTTGGTTAGATCCAGTGACAGTGTGAGTTCAATAGCTGTTTCAGGCAGTGGAGAACTTGGAGAGGAGAATTAACAGGAGGTAACTGATAATTGACATCCATTAAAAACATGGAATGTTGAACTCGAACAGTCTACCCCAGCGAGCGAAATAAAGGGTTCAGTTCGACATTCCAACCACCTGAAGAAGACCGGAGCGTACAACGGTCGAAACCTTGTGAGAAATATGGCAACAAGGATAAGAACAATAGTCCGAATAATGTCAATAGTGTACAATCTTTCCCGATCCTTGAACTAAGTAAATGCTTATAGATTCAAATATAAACTGCCAACATTTACCTATTCCCGGATTAAGTAAACGTTTATCGATTCAAATATAAAAGACAAATATTTATACGTCTCCAGGCCAAGTAAATGCTTAGAGAATAAAATAATGTAAATAGTGTGCATCACGTTTTTCCCTCTAATTGCTCTTCGTCAGTATAAAATGATGTTCTTTTTGATGGAACTATATTTTGGGGTGGGAAATCTGACGTAAAATAAATATGCTCGGAGAGTAAACGCTGAAGATGTAGGAACGCTAAGTTTTACATTTTAAAATTCCTTGCCTTCCGACGTGTCTCGACGTTATAATCAGGCAATCTCATTCACTTTCCTAATGTTTTTTTTTTTATCGCGTTTATTATTTTGTGACATGGTGACAACAAAAAATTTAAGGTGAAATGTTTTTAACAACCCGGATGTAAATTTACCGAAAATAAAATCAAAAAAACAAAAATTTGCAAATCTAAAACGTGATCGTGAGTTGTGCGTTAAAACCCGTCAGACGCTAAAAAATTTTAAATTTCAAATTTAGCGTTGCTACTTCTTCAGCGCTTCTTCTTGGTACATAATTATGGCAGCGGCCGTTTCCGTTTCAATTTCCCTCATATTCCTATATATATATTTAATTCCATGAAAATAATATTACTTTAGTATATTGAAGTACTTTTTTCTATTTTATCGTTTAGTTACCCCGAATTGTTCTGATATATAATCATTTATAAATCGTATTCTCTTATGAATATATTTTCATATCCGTTCTTGATAATGATCGTGATAATTGAAAGGTCTTGAATATAACGAGAAAAATCATGAAATTTTGAAATTTATTCATAACTTCAATCCCGATGTACAGCATCTCATTCGGAAATTTGAAATATATAATAAAAACTGAATATATATATATATGTGTGTGTGTGTGTGTGTGTGTGTGTGTGTGTGAGCAAAATATAGAAAAATAGGAAAGAACATTTATGTTACTAAGTTCCTTAGTATATTTGATTATATTTTTAAAAAAAAAAGAGTGCTCAAGACATAAGTAGAGACTATATTAAAAATATTTTTTAAAAAGTATGATTCCATCGCTACATAAGAGTTCTCATGTTTCAAAAATAGAAGCTAAAATACCATCTCTATTTCATCCTCAAGAGAATTTTGGAATAACCAATCTTGAAATTTACGGAGCTTTTTAAGCATATATATTCGTAATATTAATTAGATGAAAACAGTGAAACGAATTTGTAATAAGGGCGAACGGGTGAACATATTGTATCAACATATAAGTTACTTTCGGAAAGAGGTTACGTCAAGGTAGAGTTGGGGTGTCTATTTTCAAGGGAATGATGACATCACTTTGAAGCATATCGTCTGGTCTGTTTCAACGACAGAGTTGTTGGCATTATTGTTACGCCGTTAAATTCGTACTTGTATACCTTAAAATTAATTTTTAATGTACATACATACATATATACATATATATATATATATATATATATATATATATATATATATTAAAAATTGGACAAAGTCCGACAATTTATTAAAGACATTTTTATGTTTAACATTCTTTTTATAGATACAAGTATTTAGTAAATGCTCTGTTTATAATAAACAGTATTAAATAACATTTACCGGCCTGAATGTCCGAGAAATTTTCATATAAGCAGTAAATTCGATCTTGCCTACCGAACGCTCCTTTGTGGCCGAGTCGGTTAAGGCACGTCATGACGGTTCCGTATAGGATGCAGGTTCGAATATTTTCTATGAAAATTTCTCGGACATTCAGGCCGGTAAATGTCATTTAATACTGTTTATTATAAACAGAGCATTTACTTAAATACTTGTATCTATAAAAAGAATGTTAAACATAAATATATATATGTGTGTGTGTGTGTGTATATATATATATATATATATATAAATGCACTGTATTTTACAAAATAAAAGAAGCACTCGCATATTAAATACGACCTTACATTTACACAACAGCAACTACTACAACAACTACTACTAGTAGTAGTAGTAGTAATGATGGTAATAATGTAGTTTGCGTAAACAATATTATTGTAGAGTATTAAAAATGAGAGACCAAATTATTGAGTGTTGTGGATGAAATTAAATTAATGGAGGTCTCATCTTCGTATCTATGAAGCAAGACGATTTTTAAGACTACTGAAAAATGCGTATGGTAACAGTATGATTTTAGCAAGATTTATTTGACTAAATTCTATTGTTTTTAGATTTTTGGTATTAGAACTGGAATTCCTTCAATATGGCGTTATTTGTAATGGTAAAACGAAAAATCATATATCGAATATCTATGCGGGTTTTTTTTTATATATCCCCGCTTCAATGTACGATATATAGAGAAAAATATTTTATTTAATGTTTGTTGTTGCTTTTGTATCATAATGGCTTCTAAAATTCTAATACCCGTTCTTGACAATGACATTGTTCGTCGAAAGTCCTTGAATATAAGAAGAAAAAACGTGAAATTTAGACAATTTATTTTGTAACCTCAATTTAAAAAAAATATAATTCCTTCGCTACATAAGAGTTCACATGTTTCAAAAACGAGAGCCGAAAACCTCAATATAATTATTAAAATTAAATTGAATTAAAGTATCGAGTCCTTTTTCATCCTCAAGCGAAAATTTAGGGAAAAAACATTAAAGAACTCCGGATTATTTGCCTAACGTGTTCTTTCCTGTTTTTCTACATATCCACACACACACACACACACACATATATATATATATATATATATATATATATATATATATATATATATATATTGTATTTGACAGCATACATTTACATCTATATCATTCCCCGTCTACACTACATATGTAAAATTTCATCAATGAGAAATACTTTTAGTCCGATTATTTTATAACGTTGTCTGTCGAATGCCTAACATTTTAAATAGGAAGATCTTCAATATGGACGCAAAGATTAATTCACACATACGCATATTAAAATACAAAAGCTTTGTTATTCACATTGTTTAGAGTCGAATTAATGTCCTTATCTTTGTTGTTATCATTACATGGCTTTAGCCGTTGCAATCTTTGGCCTTTTTCAGATGTCTCTCAGTTGAAATATACCTACAGACGATAATGTGTTTGTCCCTATTCACATAAATATAGTAGTAAATACTGTATGTTGGTCTGCAGTCGGAGATTTGTCTCCAGCTGCGCTGGTCAAACTCTCTGCCTCTGGGTAGAGAGGATCCCAAGACGAGGCTATGTCGAGGGGCAGAGTCTCGTCTCGGGAAACAGCTACCCAACCACGTTTTATACGGGGTCTACGGGGAAAGCTTGGCCGAGCCTGTGGGCTCGGATACCCAACATTAAAATCGAACTTGTGCCACATCTGACCGCGTGGAGCAGTTGGTAGATATCCTGTAGTTGGAGATTTGTCTCCTGCTGGGCTGGTCAAACTCTCTGCCTCCGGGCAAAGAGGATCCCCAGACGAGGCTATGTCGAAGGGCAGAGTCACACCTCGGGAAATAGCTGCCCGACCCCTTGTTTACAAGGTCTATGGGGAATTTTTGGCCGAGTCTAAAGGATCGGATACCACACATTAGATTCGGCTTTGTGCCACATCTGACCGCGTGTGGTAGTTGGTAGATATTCTACAGTTGGAGAGTCATTGTGAAATTCTCTTGACTCACTTCTAGCAGTTGACTACTACTTCTACGCACCGCTTGCGAATCTTATGTGTGTTGTTCTTGTCCTAAGTATTATCATTCATTATCAACCTTCATTTGATTATTCTATTCAGTAACCTTCCCTAGGTTACAACACTCTCGATCCAAGTAAACTCTAGTGAATTTCACTTTGAGCCCTTTATTTAATCTTCAGCGGTAGATTGTTCTTTTTTTCACTGTCGTTAACAATATCTCGTCTTGTTCTTTTTCACAATACTTAGGGATCCAACGACCTGACGTTGTGACAATAACAACAAAGTTAGTTTCAAGGTCAATATTATAAATAATTATAACGCCTCCTTCTCGATCTTTCAAACCGAAAAACTTTATTGTAAAAATAAAACAAGTTGTAAGATTAAACACAAGTACACATCAAGTGCTCCAGACCAGCTGCAATCTTCAGCTTAGCGCCGTGCTTCAGCAAGGTTTCGGCCCATTAGGCTCAGTACCTCTCCACACGGTGGGCCCGCAACAGCTGGATGATGTTACGTTGCAAACGGTCTATGTTAATTGGATGCGACTCGATAGGAATTTTTGGGTGGTCCATCCACTTCCTTCCACCGCTTTTTCACCTTGTCCGGCTTTTGGATCCCACACTTGAGGAATCTCTTTAGAGAGGCAGTAGGGAACCCTCTACAGCCAACCTCAAATGGCACCAGGGTGCAGCCATATCCTCTCTCACGGACTTCAGCAACCAGTTCCTCATACCGAAGCAACTTTCTTTCATGCGCCTCTTCAATCCCTTCTTCCCGTGCTATTGTCAGTTCGCCAAGCAACAGATGTTGCTTCTCAATATCAACTAAGAACAGTTCTGGTCTCAGACCAGACGCAACGACCTCCAATGGCAGTGTAGCATCAACCAACTCTCCCCACTTCCTTGTGTTTTCCGACTGGGTCTTCTGCATTGTGACAGTCGCACCTTGCTTCAGGGAGGCTACCCTTCGCAGGTCCAACGAGGGTATGCTAGCATCTCTTGCAGCTGCTGCCACGACCTCCGGAACCAAGTTATGTCTGAAGGTGTACCAGCCATTCTGTAGCGCCTTTGGACAGGCTGAGAGTATGTGGCGCAGGTTTCCATAAGCACCACACAACCAGCAGGATGGTGACTCCTGCACTCCCCATCTCTTCAAATTTGCTGGTGATGCAGCCACATCATATGCTGCCTGTACGAGGAACCTCAAATGTCATGCGCCTAGACGCCACCAATCAGACTAACTGATCTGAACACCCTCAATACCCTCCCAGTTAAGCCATCGACCCTGCTGAGCCTGCTGGAATGTCCGCATTAAACGTCTCTCCTCTTCGAGCTTTCGAACCCCATGTTCCTGTCTACTGGCCTCTGACCAGAATCTCTCCCTCTCAGCAAGACCAAGTCCAGCACGTCCCTTCTTTGTAACACCTTGAACTTCTACCTGCTTTACCATCACTTCCACTGCTGACATCACGTCTGACACTTTCCCCTTTCTTCCTGTCTTCACCTCTGGCACATTCTTCTGGATTACAACATCCCTAGATTTACACAGCATGGACTGCAATCTCACCTTTGCCATCTTGTACTCCTCCACCAAAGAAGTAAGAGGTAACTGAAGGCCCCCCGCCCGCGAACTGCTATACAAAGCGACCGGCGACAGAATCCTTGCAACACCAAGCCACTTCCGTATGCATTTACTAATTTTCCTTTCAATAATCTCCACTCTAGACAGTGCCACCTCATATATAGTCAGCGGCCACATTAATCTAGGCATCAATCCAAAATGCATACACCACACCTTAAATTTTCCGGGAAGCCCACATTGGTCTATTCTTCGCAGGCCCACCTCCGTTTGTTGCTGGATTTCAATCACACGGTGACCATCTATCACAGGGAAGTTATACCACCTCCCAAGACTCTTCACGCCTTGCTCCCACACTGTTGGTATCTTTTCACCTGCGATGGAAAACACTTCATGTATGGCAGAACCTCCCTTCATAGACAGTGACCTGCTCTTCTTCGGTTTGAAGGTCATATGACTCCATTCTACCAACTCTGCAAGTCTATCCAGAACCAACTGGGCTATTTTCCAATCATCTTGAATTATCGTCAAATCATCCATAAATGCTCGGATTTTGACCTCATTCTGCCGGAAGCGGTAGTCTGGTGTCAGACCTCTCAAGATCACCTCTATCACCATCACAAACAGTACTGGAGAAATGGCACATCCCATCGTAATTCCCCTTTGCAGCTCCACCTACCTTGTAGTCTACTTTAGCGTCGAAAAACGCAGAACGAACTGATTGAAGTACATAGCCGGACAATCCCTGAGTCTCTGCGAAACGTAGAGGAACTCCAGTGCCAACTGCATCATGCTATGTGGTACTGAACCATAGGCATTAGCAAGATCTAACCAGATGACGTAAATATTCTTCCTTTCGATTTTAGCCTCACGGATCTTTGCCCAAATCATTGACACGTGTTCCAAGCAACCTGGAATCCCCGGGACTCCTGCCTATATAGTTATTCCTAAGCAGGTACTCCATCAGCCTCCTGACAAACACCTTAAAAATACCTTCCCTTCAACGTTCAGGTGAGATATTGGGCGGAACTGACTAAATGTCACCGAATTCTCCTCCTTCGTTATATACATGTATCAGATCGACACCAACAGTCTGGAACATCACCAACTTCCCAAATCTTCACAGGAAGCCTCCACAAACACCTCGGCAGCCTGGGACAACTCTTGTAGACAGCATATGTCACCCCATTAGGACCACCCGCAGAACACGCTCTTGCCCTCCGTACAACTCCTTAGACCTCCTTCCAAGTAACTGGAGACTCATCAAAAGCTACTTCCGGGGCGCCAGGCCTGAATAAACCTGGCATCACCTCGGCTCTGGTGACCTCTCTGCTGGCATCCAAGTAAAGTGCTCATAAGATGTCTCTCCAGCTACTCCCGCTCAACACACAACGCTCCGCTAGTCTTCTCCCTAAACAATTCCTTCGTGAAGCGGAACGGACTTCCCGTGAATGACTTCCGGGCATTGGCAGCCTTCTCTCTCTTTTTGGTAAGTCGTTCCGCTCTACTTAGCTTGCTAATACGCTTCCTTATGTCCTCCAGGATTGGCCTGATTTCCTCTGCCCTCTGCCCTCTGCTCATCAGCCCGCATTGCTGCTCGTAAACTTCGCGTCTCTTTCCTCAATGACTGGATGGTTCTCCGCCGCCGACTTACCTGCACTGGAGCTAAGAACTTAGTTTTCACTTCCTTTAACCCAAACCCATAGTCACTGATCATCTCCCCAAGCTGGCGGACTTTCCTAACTAGATCACCCCTGAGTGTCTGGACGGCTGCTGATAAGTCTTCATCCATCTCTGACCAGGCCCTATCCAACGAGGAAGGCCATTTGATAATTCGGCGACTAGATTCAGCTTCGAAGAAAGGATCTAATATTTAAAGTAAATATTCAACGTTTATTACGTTTTATTAATTCAACTTTGGCAAAGCAGCAAACCAACAAGACTCCATTCAACTATAAATGGTGATCACCAACGAGAAAAAATGCAATAATATTTAGAAGCCCTTCGACCGTAGAAATGATGATAGTTAAGTTTCTAAAACAGAACATGTTTAAAATGAATAATTTTAATAAATAAATATATAAATCATCACTCCTGGAGAAGACGGAGGACAAACTAACCGAAGAATCCCAACATATGCAGGCTGTCTCCATCAAAACACCAGCGTTCATGGACTCCAATTTGGTTCGCCATAAATGAAGCATAATACAATGTAGCCATGACTGAAGTTTATATTACAAAGTTTTATTACATTATCGCCTCATTTCCTATTGAAATTGCGGAAATGTTTCCTCATTCAGTTCTAAAAATTGTTGACTACGATAATCTTAAAGAGTTTGTAATAACAAAGTAATAAGACAAAAAAAACAAGTCACAGAAACTTGACAAATTGATGACATTGTATAACATGTCATCCATCGGTTTATCTAAATGAAGTGGTGTTCTTCGTTTCAGGAATTGTTCGTTATGAATCCATACAAGACTTGATTTCTTCTATCGCCCGACATTTCCCGCCTTGGAAAGACGACATATGATTTTATACTATGTTTGGATCGCCACAGAAATGTACACATTGAGCAAGTGTCGCATCGAACTTGTGCTTCTAATATTAAAAAGAAAATAGAAAACATTCTATTAGTTTTCCGCCCATATACAAATGACAAAATGCTTTTACGAGCGCACTTTTATTTTGCCGACAGGTCTCGGCTTTCAGAATTCCTGATATAAAAGGCCGAGATTAGGAATAAAAATAAAATAAAAAAACCTCTATTTTCCATTGACTTCCTGTAGTAAAATTTTGAAAAACTAGTTAGGTGATTAGCGAAAGACATTATTGATCCACTTGTAGAAGTTGTAAATTTATCGTAGATAAAAATAAACTGCTATTTCAATTATTCACGAATCAACTGTTTAGGCTCTATTGTTCACTCAGTACAGGGCCCAAGAGCCACTCAAGATAGACGCTTCCTGAATGAGGTTATATGAACGTAAGTCTTGTAGATTATGATGATAGGCAAGATAAATAAAGGTTGACACTAAACTTGATAAATTTAACATTATAGTGATCGAGTAAGTAGTGTCGCGGGAAGAGTCTGCTGTCTGAATGGAACTACCTTGTTACCAATTGAATCGAATGGAATGAGAATGATTCGGCTTTTGCTGTAAAGATCTGTAGAACTAAAAATGTAACATGTCAGGACATTTTCCATAGAAAGGAGCTGCCCATTTTTCCATCGTCTTTAACGATGAATCCTTTGAAGTTTGGACTGAACATGGACCCCACTAGACGCTCAAAGCATTCACCCAACAAAACATGACCAACATGTTGATAGTTCTGGACAAGTACTTGTGAATGTGTTACTGTACAAATTAAAGGATGAGTTTACATGAACACTTTTTATCGATGCAAAGTAGCATTTTTTAGTTTATGACTTCCTCTACCATTTCGGCTTACTTATCGATTGCACCAATTATCACCGACTCGACAGAATAATTAAGCAAATAGATAAAATCCATTAACTGTGAATAAAAGTTGATGACTCAAAAGTTCACTAAATTACCTATTCTAAGCTATTACCAAGAAATTACCATAGTTAGTCTTCTGTATCATAAACGCAATGCAACGACTTTAACGTCCTCTGGTTGTAATCTAGCAACATTCTCAAACTGATTACAACTCCGAAATACGGGATAGCGAGAGAGGAATTTAATTTTTTTTTCAATATGATAGAATCGTATCTCCTTTTAAACCAACATGGATTTCAGCTTAACACGTGGTACCCAAATCTAATCGAAAGCACGAACCTTGTGGAGATTACAGTTTATTTAATCTCACTCTTCACAAAACCAGACAGTTACCCTTTCCCTAATATTAACTAATCTTCCTCAAAGTTATATGTTAAGAAGTGGTTCTCAAAAACTGAACTAGCATCAGCATAGCTTTGATGTACCGATCCATACTGGGGATTTTTCTAAATCAATCATGACAGCCTCTTTTCGCCTGTATGAATATAACTTTATGCCTTTCGGGTTACGGAATGCAGTGGTGAACTCGAAGGTTGCTGTAGAGTTCCTTCCGGAAAAGTAATGTTGCCTGGAAGTTTGCGTGTGCCTTCAATTTTGTAGGAATCTTATTGTTGCTCTTATGTTTGTCTGCTTGAATTGTCTCTGTTACTAGGAGACAGTCATTTCAGATTATTTGATCGTTAAAGTTGATAGTAATGCTTAATCAAAACTAGATCTAGTGGCGAATGGTCGCCTTCGTCAGTTACATCCATCAGCAGTGTGAATACGAAGGTGACTGTAGTGTTCACTTCGGGAGCGGCAAAGACTTCCGCAATGCGCACGTCTACTGCCGCCTTCCGTTTTTTCACGGGACGCGATCTCACATTGGTTTGCCTGAAATGTCTGTATTATTTTGCGCGTTAGGGCACTACATACAATTTGATTCTGTGCGCAGTCCTCCAGCTGCATGGACCTATGCTAGCTTGGGCGATGCTGGCTTTGATGAATATATATATGTGTGTGTGTGTGTGTGAGTTTACGTATGACTGTGAGACTTTTAGATTTATTTTAATATATCATGAAACTTCCTGCGTCTATGCAACGTTCAAATTGTGACTTCTGAAGAATTCACTAAAATTTTTAAAAAATGGCGCTGCCGTAGACGAGAGCAAATCAGATAACAAAATATTTTAATCAGTCATAGCTAATCTAAATTATTTTTTTTTAATTTTTCTATTCTCCTAAGCGCTATAAAAAGGAAAGTTATTTTAGTAGTAAGACAGTTAACCTGACGTCGACTCAGCAATACTATCCTGAAAAGAGCAACGCCCTACAAGTCAATAATGTCGACGCGACACGACTATTCTCTTTACGTCTTTTATTGC